GAAGAGAGGAGGAGAGAGAAGAGGGGGGGAGAGAGGGAGAGAAGGGAGAAGAGGGAGAGAGGGAGAGAGGGGAGAGGAAGAAGGGAGAGGAGAGGGAGAGGGAGAGGAGAGAGAGGAGAGAGAGAGAGAGAGAGAGAGAGAGAGAGAGAGAAGAAGAGAGAGAAGAGAGAGAGAGAAGAGAGAGAGCGAGAGGAGGAGAGAGAGAGAGATAGAAAGAGGGAATACAGAGAGAGGGAGAGAGAGAAAGAAGGAAAAGAAAGAAAAATACAAAAAGAGGAAAAGAAAAAGAGAAACATAGAGAAATGTCATGTACACCCTCACAAAAATATACAGTGATCCAAAAAAAAAATAAATAATAAAAAATAAGAACAGAAAAACTAAGAAAATTAAAAGAAAAAGAAGGAAATAAAAAACAAACTTCTAACTCCTCACCTGAAGATGTTGCAGTCCTCCCGCTCCAAGACAGTGAAGGCGATCGAGCAGTGATGGTTCTCCAGCGGTGATATGTCATTGTACCTCAGTGCCAGCTCTGTCTTGGCGTTGATCTGTGGAAAGGTGGCACTCTGGTAAGAATCTACAATACACACAAACACACGCATACGCAAAACACGCACACACACACACGCACACACACACACACACACACACACACACAACACAAACACAACCCACACACACACACACAACACACACAGCACACACACCACACAAACACGACACGACACACACAACACACACACACACACACCACACACACACACACACACAACACACACACACACACACACACACACACACACACACGCACACACACACACGTGTCACACACACAAAAAGACATGCACTCGACACAGACAAAGCAAAACGTACACGAACGAAGATTTACCTGATATATGTTATTAAATCCAGGATGGTCTAAGTCGTGGCAAATACACGACGTCAACAGAATGAGGACATCCAGGAGACCAATTCTCTTTATGAGGTCACACTTCCACACCATCCCGTACATCTGCAAATAGTGGAAATATTTCAATAGTGGAAAATCATTCTTGCATATGAAGACAATTGTTTAACTGATAACTAATGATAAATAGCTTGTAACGTCTGTAATCTGGATGAATAGAGTCTTTTATCCAAATTACAGTTATTATATTCTCTCATTCAACTCTGGTAATGAAATGATGGAAGTAAAAACTTAAAGATGTGAAAAATAATGTGTAACATTTTATATCATTTCTCATAATTCAGAATTACATTATTTCTCATAACTGAGGATATAATACGAGACCTCATTATAAAATCTTCCAAGAGTATACTGTTACAGTTATGTGATATACTGTTTCTGTCGATCCTCTATCAATACTCGAAAGGTCAATCATATAACCCTACTTAGTAATACAACGAAAAAGAAAAAGAAAAATGAAATACGATATCATTCTGCACTAATTAAATCACAGGCAATGTTCATACCTCTACTGAACATTAATACGAGGAAAGCTAATAAAAAGAGTTACATTACATCGATACAAAAAGAAATATAACGTACTCAACTTGTCTATTAATCTTGGCAGTTAAAAGGCAACTGCCAATGTACTGTGAATAGACAGGTATTTGTATTGATTATCTAGATGGAGAGAGAGAGAGGGAGAGGGAGGGAGGGAGGAGGGAGGAGGAGGGAGGAGGAGGGGCAGGTGAGGGGGAGAGGAGGGAGACGAGAGAGAGGGAGAAGATGAAGGAGAGAGGAGAGGAGAGAGAGAGGGAGAGAGAGAAGAGAAGAGAGAGAGAGAGAGAGAGAGAGAGAGAGAGAGAGAGAAGAGAAAGAGAAGAGAGAGAGAGAGAGAGAGAGAGAGAGAGAGAGAGAGAGAGAGAGAGAGAGAGAGAGAGAGAGAGGAGAGAGAGGAGAGAGGAGAGGAGGAGAGAGAGAGAGAGAGAGAGGAGAGAGAGAGAGAGAGAGAGAGAGAGAGAGAGAGAGAGAGAGAGAGAGAGAGAGAGAGAGAGAGAGAGAGAGAGAGAGAGAGAGAGAGAGAGAGAGAGAGAGAGAGAGGGAGAGAGAGAGAGATAAAAAGACAGAGAGAATCATACACAAACAAACAGACCTAAAAAAACAAAAACAGAAGCACAAAGCAGAAACAGATCCAGTAAAAAAAGAGCAAAACCCAACAGCAAATTCACTTACCATTTGCGTGACGCAGAAAGCATGCTGGAAGTTATGGAAAGGAACCTCATTGTAGCAGTAGTAAACTCGACACAGGAAGTTACGCAGGACTTCCTTCTCAATGCCGAAGTGAGTAGTGAGGCCAAGGTCATTGTACCTGCAAGAGGGGGACCTTTCTGAGTCCGACTAAATAGCCTGCACTTGGGTTTAATTGTGACCTTTCTCAGTCCGACTAAATAAACTGCAATTATGTTTTATGTGTAGAATGAGTTTTCGTCGAGATGATAATAAAAGTGATAAGGAAAATAGTCACTAGGGGACTATTTCTGCAGATGGTACTGTTAATGTGAATGGTAACGATGATAATAACCAGTTCGGTGATAATGATGGTAAATAAGAAACCGCAAAAATCCATTATTTTTTCCTCGTTGGATAGTCACAAAAGTAGCATAATATATCATACTTACATATGAGATAACTGCAATAAGATATGGGAGAAATGACAATGACGGTTGGAAACAAATACATAAGTAAAATCAGAGACATAACAATAACCACCAAAGATAACGTTATCAATAATGAAGCTATTTGATATCGTTAATAACACCACTAGGAGAAATGGAACTAAAATCTGGAAATCTGTGGTTTTGCTCGGACGCTAAAAACTGTGAGATGTTTAGCGTGTGGTTCGAACTGCGCAGTGAAGTGTTTCATTTTCCAAGAAGGTGTGATAAAGCGGCAAAGTCTTATCAAGAGCCTTTCTCGACGCTGGTAAGCTCACGGGCGGAGGCGAGAGACCGACAAAGAGTAAAGGTGAAGACCCATGAAAGGAAGAAAAGGAGGGAAAGAGGAGGGAAGAATAGCTTAAGAGCGTGAATGCACAGGAGGCCAATCTCGAACGCGCCCTTGGTCAACAGAGCGACGCAGCGGGGAAACCCATGGGATTCCTCAGCACACCGGCGAGAGGAATCCCGAGAGACGGCGCTTCCCACTCACTATGGGAGAAAGAAGAGAAGAGGAAAAAACGCAACATAATAGAGCGAAATGGGAGAGTTACGTGCGGTGTATCACTCCCAGGTCTGGTGGCAGCTCACTGAAGCAGTCCCAAGAGGTCCTACGGAAAACAGTGCTCGCAAAGCAGAGCCCAAAAGGCGTGCAAAAATTAGGGTAGTCCTTGGGGTCTCGAAGGCCAGCGACAGAAGAAAGAGAATGTATATGGACTCTCACACGTGTTCAAAGTTCAAGGTAGACGTCAAGAGCACCAGCCACTGAAAACACCGTCGTCAGAATGCTGTGTCTTGCGTGGGAAAACATACGTAAGGTCTAGCGACTCATGATACTCTCCCACCGCGATGTCTTTATATCACAAGGTCAAGAGGTCCTTATAAACATCCTCCACAAGGCCTTGTTATGGATCTCTACATAAGGCAGATTTTTTTTTTTTTTTTTATACCCTACATATGCCTATTAGTGGGTTTCCACCCTACTGCCATAGGGTGGAAACCCACTATAAAGCCCCGATCTCTCTTGACGATTTCAGCAGCCTTTTAATAGAAGCACGTTTGGCAGAATAGCTTAGATCACTTAGCATCCTCCTTTGTTGACAGAGTCTCTTCTGCAACATACCTTCGACTTGGCAGAAACTAAGAATAGAAGGAAATAGTCACAGACGGAGACAAAACTGCAGGTTCTCTTGGATTTCACAATAACGTTCTTCAGATAAATAGATATATAAATAGAAGAGCTCGCGGGTTCGAATCCTAAGGTTCGAAACGGCTCGACCGCCGTCACGGAGCACCTGGGAGTCCTTGTCCAGACTACAACTATACTAATAATGATGTTGAATAGGACTCTAACGATAATGAGGATTCTAACATTGTAATGATGATGATGATGATTATGATAATGATAATGGTTTTGATGACGTTGATAGTGGTGGCAACGCTAATAACTGCAGCAACAACAACAACAGTGATAAAGCTAACACTAAATCCA